CAAAAAGTATTTTATATGAATATTTCTGTTTTGCATGGTTCTCATCAAAATATGGCGTTTTGAAAACATTTTGGATTTATTTTTTTTAATATTTCGGCAAAACCCAAACTTTTGGTCAGATGTAGAAAGTACTGAAAAACATTTTTGAAAAATTCTATTTTTTTTTCATGTTTCTCATCAAAATATAGCTTTTTAACAAGATTTTTGGAAATAAAAATTTTCGTTTTTTTTTGGCAAAACCCAATTTTTTCTTCAAATGTTAAAAATTTTAAAATTAATTTTTGATTTTTTTTTCAAAATTTCATCTTTTTTGCATGTTTCTTAACCAAAGTTTTGGGATTTTTTTCTGAATAGTTCGGCAAAATCCAAACTTTTGGTCAAATGTAGAAAAGGTTTTTTGAAAAAAAGAATTCCAAACTTAATTTATATTGCATTGTTTTCATCAAAATATACATTCTGAAATTTTTTTTGAAAATTTTTATTTGGAATTGAAAAAAAATTAGAAAAAATGTTTTTTTGGAATTTGTCGTCAAAACCCAAATCCTTGGTAAAATGTTGGAAATTTATAAAAAAAAATTGGGAATTTTTCCGAAAAACCCAAAAAGGGTTAGGTTTAGGGTTAGGGTTCACCTGAGGTTAGGGTTGGAGTTAGTCAGGGTTAGGGTTGGAGTTATGGTAGGATTAAACAAAACCAAATTTTTTGTCAAAAGTTATAAAGTTTGATGAAACTTTAAGAATTTGAAATTGTATCTATTCTGCATGTTTTTATCATAATATAGTGTTTAAAACATTTTTTTTTAATTTTTCGGCAAAACCCACACTTTTGTCCGATGTAACACCATTTTGATAACATTTGTGTTATATATATAACATATAAATTTGGGATGGAAAAAGTACTGAAAAAATATAATTAACTAAATATTAATATTAGTATATTGTCTTTGCTTAAATTTAACTAAAGTAAAAGTAGCCATTTAAAAATCTTCTCAAGTAAAAGTAAAAAATACTGCCACTAGTTGCTTTTAATCAACAATTCAAATACAAGTGGTATAGTTGAGAATTCTCTGATCCATTTGAACGCTTCTACTAAAAATTCAATCCACCAAAAACAATTTTCTGGTTTTGTCTTTTACATAAATCTTTGAAAATTGATCATCAGTATGATTTAAATATTAAAGCATTTCTTTAGGTCTTCCATCGACTAAAATCTTCATTGGAAAGTTGATGGATTACCGTGCTTGAAATATGCTTTCTAAAAACTGCTTTGCGCCCCCTATCTTTAGTGAACAGAAGCTCACTAAAGATTTTTTTCCCGTTGTAAACAGAGCTAAAACCCACATTTACTCCTTACTTGTCTGTGAGCTGGTTCATGAAAACACCGAGGATGTGTGTGACAATTAACAACCTGCTCCAGAGCACAGGGCTGTAAGAAAAGAAGTGCACGGGTGGAGGTGGAGAGGTGAGGCGGAGAAGGAGTGAGAGGTTGAAGTGAGAGGAAGATGGGCAGATGAAGAGTCTTGAGGAAAAAGAGCTCTTTCTCACTCATCTCTCTCTGGAGGGGACACCATTCTCTCTTCCTTTTTCTTGGTAACCTCCTTAGTGGCTATGGGAGCGCATCCTCCCAGAATGTCACACATCGACACCAAGCCTCCCTCCTTCCTCAAGATGGCCATCTTTGAAGAGCATCATTAAAGCCCTCCTGTGGGGGAGTCAAGAATATAATGTGAGAGGGGCCACCTTCTAAAAAAAGACGCCTGATGGAACCTTTTCTACTGGTGCTGTCCCCTCATTAACACCCTCCTCTGCTCTGCACCACCTTTAAACTTCAATCTCACTTCTTCTTCTTCTTCTTCATCATCTTCATCTTCAGTGTCAGGTAGCTGCTGTTCTCCACCTCACCCTTTACTGGTGACTGTGGCAGTGAGGTGACGTCCTTCAAATCTCCACCTCCACTGAGGAAGATTGACGAGAGGGTAAGAATGTGTGGCTAAAATATTTAGGCAAAAAAGCATAAAAGTAAGTAGGATGGGAATGGCTAAAAAAAAAAGCAAACATAACTTGATTACGGGCACAAATAAAAAATAATAATAATAAAACAATTACAAAATATCATCTCAAATAAATTAAGAAAGAAAATCATCCAGGAGCCAAGTAAATAGTTTCAAGCAAATCATTTTAGATACAATTTGAAATTTTGATAATAGCTGAAGCTACAACTAAATGTAAACACTTCAAAATCTGGTGAATATGTTGATTTAAAAAAAAACTATAAAAACAGTTGAAAGACCATGAATGATAATTAAATGTGCCTAAATTGGTCCATGAACCAGAATTTGCTGAAAACTGATTAAAATACATTTCAGTTTTTCAAATTCAACAATATTTGTAGAATTACGTTTTTGTTCCAGTGCTGCTTTCACTAAATTGTTTTATGTCACATCTGAATGCCTGATAGAAATGTGTCAACATTTACATTTTCTATGAATTTGGCCTCAGACATTCGACTTGGAGACAGTATTGTTAACTCTGTGTTAAAAAAGATCGAGTATTTATACGTTATCAGAGCTGCGGTTCCGTTGACAGAAGGTTCTGGAAAAATACAATACATCTTGACAGAAATCTTTAGTTTCTAAATGGTTTTTTATTACAAAATTGTAATATTTCTCTCCTTCACCTCCTCGTCCACTACCTCCATCTCCCGTGAGGAGTAACGGTGACAAAAGACCCTGGAGGGGGAAGAAAGTTCTCTCCTCCAGCCCACCGTCGTTCCATTTCTGCAGCCTGTCAGAGCACTGGGCTTTTCATCTGAAAAGATAAACACATTTCTCTCCTGCAGGCAGCGCCACACCATTTCTGTCTCCCATTTTCTCCGTCCGTCCTCTTTCTATGCACCTCTCTCCCCTTTCTTTTCTTGCCCCCTGGCAAGTGGGAAAACTGTCCTTGGTGGGATTCTGTTTTTCAAAGGAATCAATTCTCCTTTGTACACACTTGATCTGACCCTGTGACAGGCATTAAGTGTGTCTTCTGCCTGATACACAGGGGCTCGTGTTCTGTGTGCTGATGGACACGGCCCATTATCACACACACACACACACACACATACACACACGTAATACAAAGAGCTGCAGACAAGCGTGGACATACTGCAAATTTGTGTACATACACATGCCATAATAACCTCACACACTATGTGTGTGCGTGGGGGGGGGGGGCTGGGGTCTGAGCGTGTGTGTAGAATAATGGGTGAGTGAGGGCCGTGTGTTAGTGATTTAGGACCATCAGATACGTCCTGCTGTGAACAAACGAATGGCTTTGACAAGACCAGCGAGAAGGTCGGAGGAGGTCGGAGGAGGTCGGAGGAGGTCGGAGGAAGGAAGGGTTCAAAACCAAAGACGCCCGAGTGGAAAACCGGAGGACTGTGATTAGATATTTAACACCAAACACACAGCGGCGAATCACAGAGAAACATCTGTGAGGTCAGAGTCGCAGGTAAACATGCAGCCGTGTGGATCATTGGGACGATTCAAAAGATTCGCAAATAAATAATGTTTAAAGTCAAAGAAGTCCAAGTCTGTGACGTCCTTTTTTTGTTGACTCACCTGCACGACATGAAGCAGCCGAGTATTTTTAGAGAATTTTTCAGACTGTTTCATCACTTTTTAATGTATTTTCTCAAATATACTGTACCTGAACTCACTTTCAGCTCTTTTCTTGGTCATTGTTATAATTATTAATGTTATCTATCGTGGCTCTGTACAAATTAGCTAACTTCTTTTTGAGACATCATTTGACTTTTTTTTTTTTAAATAATGTTTGGACACTTTTGTCAGTTTACTTCGAACTGAAATTTGCTTAGTACGTTTGATTTGTGTTCAAATTTTGTTATTTTGAATGAAATCTGATGCAGAAATGCCTCCATTATAACTTTATAACAGCCTATTATCTGAAGGCAGCAGTTGGTGCGGTGACTTTTTTTAAGTTCAGTCATACACAATGAACAAGGACAAACTACAAAGTAAAACTGTCAATAATGAAGTGCAAAACTGACAGTGCATTTGAATGTTTTTTATTTTTTATTTTTTACACACTGAAGTGGTCGTTTCTGTGTAATAGGTTTCAGAAATGACGGGATGGAAATCAATTCACCAAAATTGTTTTGCATTGAAAAATGAAAATGACTATGAGGCTGGTGAAGACGTCATTGTGATTTTGACAAAGACTTAATCATAAAGTTGAGAGTCTGAAACATTAAAAAAAAAATCTGTTTACTTCTGTTTCTTTTTCATTTTTTTCTTAATTGGCTGCAAACAATGCAAATTAAAAAAAAACATCTAAATTAAACTGTTTTTTTTTTTGCACGGAATAAATAATTTAAAATAATTTAAAGTGAGAATGTTTATGAAAAATTCAAAACGTTATTTTACAGCCTGGCTGTTACTGGAGCATCAGGTTGACACTGACACTGACGAGTCTCCAAAGTTGTAATTATTATTTTTTATTCTATTAGAAACTATTTCAGATGAGTTCAAAGTTCCGCTGCCTTAACAGAAGATAACACATTATATACATTTCCTTTAATAACCAGGTGTGGTTAAAATCTGATGCACAGATTGGTTGGTCTAAAAGTCAGAAGTTGTCATTTTAGGAGACAGAGTTGAGTCGGCCTTGATTTTAGTCCTCAGAGAAGAATAAACCCGTGTTCTTGTTCTATTCTGTCTTCTACCTGCTCTTTGTCTCTTTAATTGTCTCTGATTTATCCTTGTTGGCGTGTCGTGCTGCAGATACAAAAAACCAAGAGTCTTGAAAAGGCAAAAAAAGAGAAAAGAGGCCGAAATTATAAAAAAAAAACCCAGAGTGAAGGGAGACGGCTGGAAGAATGCATTTGATTAGCGTAAGTTTGCTGCTGGTGGCGGTTTTCTTCTGAGAGCCGCGCGGCCATTGTGTTCCCGGTGCATGTGCGAACGTTAGTGCAGCTAAAAAAAGAGATCCACGTGGAGAAGCAGGCGCAGTGACATTTCCTTAATCAAATATGGCAATCAGGAGGGCCAACCGACGGCATAGCATTTGCAATCCCCCTTTTTAATTCATAATCAAAAGCTGAGCAAATGAGGCAGACATTGAGAACTGAGGCTGGTGGGTGGGAGTGGAGGTGGGCGGAGGTGAGGGAGTCAAGCGGGGGGAGGGGGAGAGAGAGAGAGGGGGAGAGAAGGGGAGACAGAAATGCAGGTCATTACATTTCTTTTTACTGGCCCTGACGAGAGCCATGTAGAATTAATCAGAGGCCATTAGGCTGTATTTACTCACTGCTGCAGGGACTGGAGCCTCTTCCTCTGGATACAAACCCTGACATGATCCTGCTCTGCATGGAGCCTGGAGCCTGGAGCCTGGAGCCTGGAGCCTGGAGCCTGGAGCAGGAGAGGGAGAGAGAATCAGGTTACAACCAGACTGATCACAAATAGTTGGGTGTCATTATTTTACAGGATATATTGTTTGTTTGTTTTTTAAATCACAGGGTGTGACGTCCACCGAGGGTCAGTGTTGGATGTTGACTTACAGCTCAGATCATACAACATAACTCTCCCCCGTCTCCCTCCTAATGGACTGTTGTCATTACTCACCCCCCGTCCTGCTGCTGCTAAAATCTCAGCAGTAATGGATGGGACTCCTAAATATAGCCTGACTCTAAGTGATGACAAAATACAACCTGTGAGAGCAGGAGCCGAGCTGAAAGTTGGATTATCTTAGAACCAGAGTCTTTTCAATATTTAATACCAGTGATATTTATGCTGGGAAAAAAAGACATGCAAAGGCAGTGATGGTCCACGTGGGTCAGTGTGTAGTGGGCCGTCCCTGGTTTGAAGGTCGAATCATTGACCTTTGCATACGGCTGTACATTCCAGTAGACTACAGTAAAAAAAAAAAACAGGAAAAGAAGAAAGAAAAGTAAAAAAAGACACAGGTTCAATAGTAGTAATAGAATAAACAGGTGAGGAAGGAGGAGGAAGAACATGATGATTAACCCTTGTGTAATGTTCATATTGTTGTTACTCAGCCAGTGTTTGTGGGTCTGATGGACCCGTTGCATTTTGTGGCTTTTGATGCCTCACAATCAACACTTTTATGTTAAAATACTGAACAGATGTTTACCTTATCCCAATTACAAGCAGTATAAACAATATATATGGTTAATATTTGCCCTTTACCTTTGTTATACCTACACTCTGTCCTCCTCCTGTCTAGGCCTGCTGTGT